TAAAGCAATTTCTCTGCAACTGCAGTATGTAAAACTGACATTTATCCGTTCGTGACGGTTTAAAGTTTTTAAATTCATGGTTGTGATATTATACTAACAGAAAGTAGAGAAAATACAATGGGATTTTATTGAGGTTAGGATAATAAAAAAAAGAAAAAAAAGTATATATATATATATAAATATATATATATATTCTTTTTCATTATAAGAGAAACGTCTGTCTCAAACAGTGGCAAATAATAACTCGCATCTGGAATTCAATTTAGCTCATGAGGCCCATTTATTATAGTTGATGCTTAAGTGGTGATAACTTTACATGAGCACTAACGCTTTGGAATAAGACGATCCCGTGTCACTCAAGTCCTATCTTTAAAGAGTCGGATTAAGAAGATCCGAGTGTCACTTGTTTCTCTCGGCAATGTTTATCACGGCGTCTATTGTCAGGTGTTTGTTTACGTGGTGTGACAGGAAGGAAGGGCGGTTCCACTCTAGGTCTAGTCATGCCCTTTTTATGACGCTGACAGTGCATGGATTACTCACATAAGATATGTTTTACCAAGATCTCGAGCCGGAAGAGCGGGATCATGCGTCGGGAGAGGAGATACGGCCAGAGACGAGGGCGAGGGCCTACTCCTCGGGGCCCTCGAGAAACAAGGGAAGTGCAGCTGTCGAGGGTAAGAGGCCCAAGAGCTGGTCGAGGGGGAGTGACAGCCTTACAGACATTGAGGAAAAGGACGAAAGTAAAGAGAAAAATCCAAGGAAGGGGTATAATTTGTCAGGATATCTGTACAAGCATCCTAGTTCAAGCAAGAGGCATGTCCCAGGACTGAGGGGCCTGACAGGGTCTTCCATCAAGAAGCGTTGGTTTGTTTATTCGGATCATGTGTGTAAATTGTACTATTATAAGCAGAAGAATGATTCTGAACCCATCGGCACAATTGATATCGCTCTGGCAACTTTCTTCTTTGATCCAGAGTCGAAAAATGAAGGGCTCTTCACAATCAGGTAAGGATATGAAATTGTTTTGTTGACAAGTAATTTCTTGTTATAGTGTATTGCAGAATGTTCAGAGAACTGCATTAATGTCTCTCTGCTGTATTATTCATATTTTTCTGAATATCATTATTGATCAAGTGCTCTCATAACTTTGGAACAACTATTGTTGGAATGTGAATTAAATTTCAAAGACTAATGTTCAGGGAAACTCATTACCACTATGAATTGATAAAACCACCAAGATATCTTCTTACCCCAATATAACCTAGCCAAACCAGTCACCTGTGGGTTTTAGATTTTAAACTAGGAGGGAACCTGAAATTCTCTTATTACTTGACACTTTTCTAATTAGTTACACTATTACTGATGGATTATGAACCTCAGGAATGAGTAAGTTGCCACAATTATTTAATGGGGCTGAATGTGTTATTTTGAATGGCTCTCAACATGCACATTTGTATCAGGAGACAGCTGCTTGTAAGGAGCAAGAATTTTTGTTAACCCAATGCCACCGTGAAAATGAATAAAAATAGAGAAAATGCTGTGCTCATTTTTTATATTTTTTGTAAAATATCTCTGCACACAGATTGCTCTGCGAGTGCTTAACCACAAAGGAGTCAATTAGTAGACCTTGTGACATTACCTGATTTGAATTGACAGGAAAAATGTATTTTTTACCAGTGCTATGAATATCGACGGTGTACTTGTAATTGGCTCATTGTAGCCATTTAAGTATAAAAACCGAACTCCCGCGCTCAAAGTCGACGAGCTGCCATTGATCGCCAGAGCATAGATTTTTTTTTTTAGTTTTCTTAACCCGTCATCATTGGGTTAAAAGTTAAAAATCTAAGTCAGTATTCTATGTCTGTTAAATTATGAACATTAATCAAAACATGTGTTGGCCTTAATACAAGGCAGTATATTACTATTCTGAAGAGGTCAACAAAATTTTGTCAACCCATTTTTTTTTTAAGATATCTGTGTAGCCTGCTAGACCAAGTTATCTAGTAGATTTACTTTTTTGTACAGAAGTGTTAAAACCATTTCTCTTATATGTCTGGACATTTAGTGTACATAAACCAAGTGGACCACAAAAATACAGTTGAATGATAATAAAAAAAAATTCTAGTGGATTTGAAAAAGTACATAGGTATAATGCTTTTTCAGACTGGAGGTAATATTTTGATATCTTAAATAGGAGAACATAGAAATAATACCTGATAAGTCAAGAGAAACAAAATATATACTGTGTAGTTCCTTGAAATATTATTATCTTGGTCTAACAATTAAAGATCTCACAAATGACCACTTACTATTTGCTTAAATAGGTCATCTCAGATTTTAAAGAAGATAGTGTAATATATATCACACTTTTTTAATCAGTGTCCTTAGACTCATCATTTTTCAATGTTTTTGGTAGTCAGTACGTGCTATGCCCACTGTGAGTTACTTGCTCGATTGTTTTTACACATAGATGGCTACACTCGTACTAAGTTACCAATGA